ATATATTGTACATATTGTTGCAGCTGTTTTTGATATATATATATATATATATATATCATATATATATATATATATATGGGTTAATACCTATATTTGTATATGTATATTATATTATATACATTAAAATATATATATATATATGTATATATATATATATATGTTTTAGATAGTAACATTATATATATAGTATTGAAAATTATATATATATTTATATATATGTATATATTACGTGTTATACATAATTTTCAATGCTATGTTTGTTCAACATAAGAATACTAAGTAAGACATCTCTTATTCTGCTGCTGTCTCTTATCCTGCAGATGCTTTATTATATACTATATTATTATTATCTTGTTGCTGCTGCTGCTGCTGGCGTGCAGCAACAGCAACAACAGGAGCTGCAACGGCAGCAGCATATCTTTTCGTCACAAAAACCAAGACACCTGCTGCAGCAGCAGCTGCTGCTGCAGCAGCTGCAGCACCTGCTGCAGCAGCTGCAGCACCTGCTGCAGCAGCAGAACTAGAAGCATTATGTACCCTAATTATATCGATTGGTAGAGGAGTGATGCAGCGTCAGAACTAAAGGCATTATAATATATATATATATAGTGCTATATATATAATGCTATATATAACATATATAATATATATATAATATATATATTACTAATTAAGTAATTGATGGGTTTGCGCAGTAGACAAAGACAACGAAGAAAGATAAGAAAATATGAAAAGGCGCTGCAAAAAAATAAATGTTAGATTTGAAGACACTGCGGATATTCCTCTGGCGAACGAGTGCTGCTGCTGCTGAAGAGCAGCAGCAGCAACAAGAGCAGCAAGAGCAGCAGCAGCAGGCCCCCAACAGCAGCTGCTGATGCAGCATACTGCGGAGTGGCTGTGTGTTTGCTGCGTTCAGCTGCTTGTGCTTGTCAGCAGCAGCAGCAGCAGCAGCATCAAGACCAGCAGGAGGAGCAGGGAGCAGCAGGAGCAGCGGCAAGAGCAGAAGCAGTGCTTGCTTCTGCTAATGCACACGCTGCATCAACTGCTGCTGCTGCAGCAAGCCTCCTCAGCTCGCAGTGCAGGAGATGCAGCAGAAGTAGCAGCACTTGCTGCTGCTGCTGCACATGAGCCTTAGATGTCCCTACAGCGGGCAGGGACGACAGGAGGAGAATAATGATCTAGGGTTTAGGGTTTAGGGTTTAGGGTTTACCACCGCAAGCAGGAGTATACAAATATGAGATATACATTATTTATATTATAAATATAATATGCAAAATATATATACATATATATATGTATATAAACTACATATAGCAGCAGTCTGAAGGTGGAGGACGGCGCATGCAGTTGCTGCTGTTGCTGCTGCGGATGCCACAGAGACGAGAGTAGCAGCAGACTATGCTGCAGCAGCAACAGTGTTGCTGCTGCTGCTGCTGCTGCTGCTTCTGTCTTCTAGAGGCGCCACAGTTGCTGCTGCTACTACTGCTGCTGCCGTTGAATCCTCCCCAGCAGCGCCGCAGTTGCTGCTGCTACTGCTGCTGCTGCTGATGCGGAGTCCTCCAGCAGTGCCACAGCTTCTGCTGCTGCTGCTGCTGTTGAATCCTGCATCCAAGCAGCGCCGCAGTAGCTGCTGCTACTGGTGCTGCCGCTGCTGCTATGTCCTGCGGTGGGGCAGCGCCGCGCAATTGCTGATGCAAATTGCCGTTGCAACTGTTGTTGTTGCTGCTGCTGCTGCTGCAGCAGCAGCAGAACAATAGTTGCTGCTGCGTGGGCGGGGGGGGAGTTGACAGTGACCGAGCTGCGGTTGCTGCTGCTGCTGCTGCTAGCGGCAACATACAACACAACAGCTGCAAGTGCTGGAGGGGTAGCTGCGAAGCAAGGCCCCAAGGCGTCTATCTGTCTGAATAATAAAAGGCCCACAATAGTATTGTTATGAACAATACTTGCTGCTGCTGCTGCTGCTGCTGCTGCTGATTGAATCTGCTGTTGCTGCTGCTGTTGCATTTGCTGCTGCTGCTGCTGCTGCATTTGCTGCTGCTGTATATGCATGCCCACAAGATTGTGATAGCAGGAAGTACAGCAGCATAATACTAATGAATCTATATATCCAAATAATATTATATAATATATATCTACATACATATACATATATATATATGTATGTATATGTATATAGATATAGATATAGATATATTATATTATTGATGATATATCTTCATATGAATAGAAGAAGCAACATTTACTTCTTTGCGGGTAAAACCTTCTGAGGGGGAGGGGGAGTGCCTGTTGTAGCGAGCTGCACACATTGCTCCTTATAGTCAGTCTCATAGCAAGTGAATGGGACTCTAGTTGTCTCAGGCTTGAAGCATGTACCTATACGCTCGCCGCGAACATTCTTACAGCGTATACGAGGCTCTCTCTTAGCACAAGGATACTCTTCACTCTCTTGAACAACTGTTGTGCATGTACCCATCTCATATGCAGGTACATTAACACAATGCTCTTCTTCTATATGTTCAGGACAAGGATATTCAATCTCTTCAACTCGGGTGTCTATACAGGGTGTATCAACAGTTTGTTCTTCATCTACACATTCTTCGCTAAACTCATGTCTTTCACAAGGCTTCTCTATATGACGGAAGAGAGTAGCCTGACAAACACTTCTTCTGGGCTTTTTAATCTCAGTACATCTCTCAAAGAACTCATGTCTAGGGCAGTCAAATGTTTCTTGTCTTGTTTTAAATCTATATCCCTTTCTAGGTACCTTACGGGGTACATCTTCACATTCATTGAAGTGCTGAACAGCTGAACATGGTACCTCTTCTTCTTGAGTAACTTGACGAACACAATTCTTAGGTATCTCCTTTAACTCCATATCGCACTGTACATCGGGTACCTCTCTAGGGCACATATGTTGTTGAGTTCTTTGAACTTCACGTGTACATACCTTAGGAACAGATATATGTACTTCTTCTGTACAAGGATATGTCTCTATCTCTTCAGTATCAACCTCAACAAGTTTGCATTTACCCTTCTTTCCTGCGAGCAATCTACCCTTCTTCTTATAGTCTCCACATCTCTCTACTTTTGCTTTAAGAGGGACTCTTCTTGTGCATGTCTTAGGTACTTGTTGAGTCTTAATCTCACTGCAATCGTATGTCTCTAGAGCACTGACAGATTTTTCACAAGGTTCTTGAACAACTTTCTTAACATCTGTACATTTCTTCTCCCACTTCTTCTCATTACAAGGGTATTGTTCTTCAGTTAAAGTGCTGCGTAGACATTTACCGTGATCAATAGAGCTTCTTTTTGTACAATGTCTCTCCATAACAACTTCTTCATAAGGATACTCCTCAGGGACCTGTACTTCTCTTTTACATTTAACTGCTGTTACAACCATATCTACAGAACACTCCATAGATGTTTCGCTACCCCAGCAATCATATTCTTGCTTATAAGCTTCATAATCAATGCATGTACCCTCAGCTGGCTTAGCAATAATCTCACACTTAGGAACAGTAATATGCTTAGGACAAGTCGTTGTAAACTTCTCTTCAACCTGTTTTGTACATGTCTTTTTAACAGTCTTCGGGACCTTTGCGCAGAGCTTTTGTTGTGAAGCCTTCGGACACTGAAATTGAACCTCCCTCTCAACTAAACGATAACAAGACCCCTCTGCATCTTGTTGACTTACAGCACAAAACTCATGAGAGAGAGGGTGAGGACAGCTGAACGGACGAGATACTGTTTCATCTCTATAACATGTTTTTTCTACGCTGTAAGGTACAGCAAAACATTCTTCTTCTATGTCTAAAGGAAGTACTGGCTCCTGAGGAGCCTTACTAGGGGGGGGCTGGGGCTCGCCTTTCTTCTGAGGGGGGGGTGGAGGGCTGCTGCTTGCCTGCTTCTTAGCAAAGACCTCAGAAACTTGATCGCTTGCTGCAACTGCAGCAAGCAGAACAAGCACTGGTGCTGAGAGCGTCTTCATTTTATATGAGGGGAGACTTATGGCAGTGCAGCAAAGAAGAAGATAAGAAAGGAAAGAAGAAGAAAAGAAGATTAAACATAAGTATATATGTACTTATCATATATATACACCCTATACTTGTACACTCTTATCTATAACGATACACTTGCTAGCTGTGAGCAAGTTAGCCTTCTTCATTGCTCTAACGCAGCCGTTTTATTCACCTTTTTATCTTTATTTCTATTTATTTACTCTATTTATTCTTTTTTATCGTCTTTTTTCATTTAAAATTATATATTTTTCGCTCTAACAGCACCTACCAAACACTCGCAGATGTCGCAGCATCCCGCCTAGCCAGCTACCTCTGCTGCTGCAGCGATGAGCGTTGCTGCAACATATTCTATTCTTTTTGACTCTTTTTTCTTCTTTTATTCCTTTATTATTCTTTATTTATCTTTTTATTGTTCGTTTAATCAATGTCTACTCTCTATACACTCCTCAAACCCTCATACGCAGCAACCGGTGCCGACCCCACGTCTCGATTGCCTCTGCAGCTGTTCATTTCTAACTGCAGCAGCAGCAGCAGCAGCAGAAAAAACAGCAGCAGCAGCAGAAACAGCAACAATAACAACAGAAGCAGCAGCAACAAATCCGCGAATCCCTTTGCAGCAACACCATCTACCTGTGCCCCCTAAAGGAGACAGTCAGCTGCGTCGGGTGTGGGTTTCCTTCGACAGAAACAAATACCTGCAGCAGCAACAGCAGCAGCTGCTGCTGTTATTGCTGCTACTATTTCTGTTGCTGCTGCTACTGCTGCTTATGTTGCTGCCGTTGCTGCTGCTGATGAATCCTGGTGGTCCTCGTGGTGCTGCTGCTGGTCGGGGTGGTGCTGTTCCTGCTGCTCCTTCTCCTGCTGCTGCTGCTGCTGCTGCTGCTGCTGGAGACCGTTTATTTTTGTTTTAAAGGGAAAAGACAGGCGAAAGTAAATCCAGAAGCTGCTGCTGACTGCAAACAGCAGCAAAGAAGCGAAGAAGAGGCCCCCAAGTGTCTCCTTTGCTGCTGCTCATCGTTGCACTGTCTCCTCTTGAAATTCTTTTTAGCTTTTGTTTGTCTCCACCATTATCTTTTTAATCCTTATTACAGCAAAATAAAAAAAAGAGACAGACGGAGACAGCCTCTGCTCATTCAGCTGAGGCAGCAGCAGCAGCAACAGCAGCAGCAGCAGCAACAGCAACAGCAGCAGCAGCAACCGCGACAGCTGCAGCGGCGCCAGAGGCCGCAGCAGCAACAGCCTCAGCAGCTGCAACAGCCTTAGCAGCTGCAACACCCTTAGCAGCTGCAACAGCCTTAGCAGCTGCAACACCCTTAGCAGCTGCAGCAGCAACAGCAGCAGCAATAGCCGCAGCGGCAACACCTGCAGCGGCAACAGCTGGGTCAATAGGACCGGCAACTGCTGCTGCAGCTGAAGCAACAGCAGCAGCAGAAGCAGCTGCAGCAGCAACAGCAGCAACTGCACCGTCAACAGCAGAAGCTGCAACAGCAACAACAGCAGCAGCAGTAGCAACGGCAACCTCAGTAGCAGCTGTAACAGCAGCTGCAGCAGCAGCAGCTGTAGCAGCACGAGTAGCAGCGGTAGCAGCAGGAGCAACAGCTGCAGCAGCAACAGCAGCAGCAAGAGCTGCAGCAGGCGCTGTTAGACTTGAGGGTCCCCCCTCCATTTATTTTTTTAATTTGGTGTCTCCTCTGTACTGTCTCCAGGCCGGACAAAGGCACTAGTAAACCCTAAACCCTAAACCCTAAACCCTAAACCCTGAAACACTAATAAGACCCTAAAGCCTCCTCAGCAGAACTCCCGCGCTCAACCCCTAAACCCTAAACCCTAAACCCTAAACCCTAAACCCTAAACCCTAAACCAGCCTTAAGGTGGTTCGAAAATTAAGACATCGAGCGCAGCCCCACCGAGTTGAACTGCGGCTTAGCCAGGATTGCTGCTGTTGCTGCTGCTGTTGCTGCTGCTGCTGCACATATTTGCAGCTAGCTGCAGCACCTGCGGTGTCTCCTTGGGGTCTGCCCCAGTCTCCTTTTCTGCTGTCTCCACTTCAAACAGATCAGGAAAAACATCAGCATCCGATGCCGTTGCTGCTACCTCAGCTGCTGCTGCTTCTGCTGCTGCTGCTGCTGTTGTACCTGCTGCTGCTGCTGCTGCTGCTGTACCTGCTGCTGCTGTACCTGCTGCTGCGGTCTCTACTTCGCCCGCCAGTAAATCCCTCCCTGCGACAGCTGCTGCATTAGCACCTCCATCAGCTATCTCCGTCTCAGCTGCTGCTGCTGCTGCTTCTGGTGCACCAGCAGCAGCAGCTGAAGGCGCATCAGCTGCTGTAGTTGCTGGAGTTGCAGCAGCAGCAGCAGCTGCATGCGGTTGCTGCGGATTGTTGCGAGGAGAAGTACGAGTGTCTCTTGATGCAGTGGGGTCTTCGGTGTTTGATACGATTACTTGCACTGGCGGTGTCTCCTTTTGGGGTGTACATGCAGCTACTGTCTCCTGCAGTGTCTCCTTTTGGGGTGTATAGGCAGCTTGTTTCTGTGCATGCGGTGTCCTGACTTTTCTCGGTCTTCCAGGGCCCCTTGCAGGGGCCCCCCCTGTCTTTTTTCTTTTCTTTGTGTAGCGACGAGTTAATACCCATTCGTCGCTGCTGCTGCTGCTGTTGCTGCTGTTGCTGCTGTTGCTGCTGCTGTCTCTCCGGGTGTCTCCTTCTCCCCCTTTGTCTGCAGCAGATATCAATTTGTCTCCTTTAGCTGCCTGCATGCTGCTGCATCTCCCTCGCCTCCCCGGGGGTCTCCCCCGGCCTCTTCTCACCTGCTGCCTAGAGGAGACACCTCTGCGGTGTACAGGCACCTGCACGCCTGTCTCCTGCGGAGACACCTCAGTCTGCATAGCACTGCTTACAGACAGCACCGGGGGGCCCCCAGGGGGCCCCCCCCTCCTTGTCTCCGACCCTTCTGCTGCTGCTCCCGTTGTTGTTGCTGCTGATCCTCCTCCTCCTCCTGTTGCTGTTGCTGCTGCTGCTGCTGCTTCAGCTGCAGCAGATGAGGGGACTGCTGCTGCAGTTGCGGAACGAAGTGCATCCGCTGCTGTCCCCCAAGTGGCTGGGGAGAGAGCGACTGCAGCTTCGTCTTCTGCTGCAGCAGCAGCAGCGTGTTGTGGGTCCCCCGGATAGTTTGCTGCTGCAGGGGGTTGCTGCAGCAGCGCAGCAGCAGCAGCACTGCTACGATACTGTGCACTGAGCAGCGGTGCTGGCATCTGCGCGCGTTGTCTCCTCCACTGTCCCTTCACCTGTTTGTGTGTCTCCTTTAGGGGGCCCCCTGGGGGCCCCCCTACCCCACGGCCTGCAGCAGCAATCCAGGGCAGCTGCAGCAGGGGGCCCCTCGCCTTATTGCGGTGTCTGTACAGCAGCAAAAGACGAGTAAGACAGGGAACAGGGTCTTGTGGGGACCCCCAGAAGGGTAGGGGCCCCGGATGAAGGGCCTCTGGGGGGCCCCCTTCATAGTTTGCTGCTGCAGCAGGAAGCGCTCTTAAGGCTTCCAGCTGAGATATGTATGCAGCATAATCTAGTCGAGACAGACAAAACACACGCTCCAGCTGCTGCAGCAAAAACCTGCAGGCGGCTTCTGCTTCACCAGGACCCAGCACATTACCAGCAGTAGCAGCAGCAGCAGCAGCAGCTGGTGGTGGTGCTGCTGCTGCTGCAGACGCATGCTGCAGATCTTCCAAGTGACTGCAACAAATACAACAAACATGCAGCAGCAAGTACCACTCATCAGAAGCACTGCCAGCAGCAGCAGCAACAGCAGCAGCAACAGCAGCAGCAGCAACAGCAGCAACAGCAGCAGCAGCAACAGCAGCAGCAGTTGAACGCACAGGGAAAACAACGCCAAGTTTGCTGCGCATGCAGCCCTGCTTGGCCCCGAAAGGGGACAGAGACGAGGCCCTGTATCCAGCAGCAGCAGCGGGGGCTGCTGCAGCAGCAGCGCGTGTTGCTGCTGCGCTTGCTGAGGAGACAGCTCAAGTGAAAGCGAAGGCCAGGAAGAGGCAGAGAGACCCCTACGGAGTGTTGCGTACAGCTGCAGCAGATGCTGCTGCACCCAGACCTGTACATTGTTGCTGCTGTTGTTGCTGCTGCTGCTGTTGTTGTCTCCGCCACTGCTGCTGCTGTTGCTGCTGCTGCTCCAGGAGACAAACAGCAGCAAAGCAGCACGCATTGTCTCTGCCTGCGCCTCCATAAAGGCGAAGTGCTGCGCACAGTTTGCTGCAGTACGGCCAGCGAGGAGACCCTAAAAGAACAGTGCAGCAGAAGACAATAGATAAATGAAAGGAGACAGGACAGACAAAGAGAGACGCTTCACGCAAACAAACAAAAGCAAAAAAGATTAAACATATAAACAATATAAAGCAAATAAATAAAAATAAACAAAAAGGAGACAGCTAAAAAGAAAGGAGACAAAAGGAGACACAAGAGAGACAAAAGATAAAATGTAGCAGCAGCAAACAGCAAACGAGACAGCCAGCAAAAGGAGACAGACGAGACAACAATATAAAATATATATCTATATATATACATATATATATATATGACAAGCAAAAGAAAGAGAGAAGGAGGCAAGAGGAGACAGGCTAAGGCAGAGTCTCTTCTTGAGGTGTACGTGCACCCCACGTACTGCAGCACGACTCCAGCTGCGAGAAAAACAAATTGCTGCTGCGCGCAGCAACGCCCCTTCTGCTGCTGTCCACTGCATTGGCTTCTTACAGGGACTTAAGCAGTGCTGGTACCTGCGTAGACACCCCAAAGTACTCACCCCACACCCTGCAGCAGCAGCAGCAGCAGCAGCAGCAGTCAGCAGCAGCAGCCACCAGCAGAAGCAGCAACCACCAGCACCCAACAGCAGCACCCAGTACCAGCAGCCAACAGCAGCAGCACCGAGCAGCCCAAGCAGTAGCAATAATAATAATAATAACAGCAGCAGCAGCAGCAGCAGCAGGAGCAGGAGACAAGTGGGGTGTCTGATGAGGAGACCTTTCTCTGCACTTCATCTCTGTCCTGCCTCGCAGATGTGCTGCTGCTTTGTTAAAAGAGGTGCGTCCATAAGCTGAAGGCAGCAGCTGCAGCTGCATGTCTTCAATTGCTGTAAATACACCGTGACGCTTCGTCTCCTGCAACAAGAAAATTAATATAAATAAATATAAATATATATATATAAATATAAATATAAATAAACATAATTAAATATAACTATATAAATAAATAAATAAATATATATATATATATGCATATTTAAATTAATTGATTAAGTAATTAGTGGGCATGGTGTACACTTAAACTGATATATATATATATATATATATATTTATATTTATATATTTATTTATTTATATAAATATATAAATATATATATATATATATATATATGCAAAGAAAGGAGACAAATATTAACAACAGACGAAGGAGACAGCGTATAGAACAACAGACAGAAAAATAAACAAACTAAGCAGCACACATATCTACAGTGCACCAGCCATACTCAACCCCACACACCAGCAGCAGCAGCAGCAGCAGCTGCTGCTGCTGCTGTTGCTGTTGCTGCTGCTGCTGCTGTTGCTGTTGCTGTTGCTGCTGCGGCTGCTAAGACTGCAACGGTCCCCAGATGCCCCTGTCTCCTGGTCTCTCCGCCAGCCTCGAGGCTGCAGTGCTGCCTCTGGGGCCTCGGGTTTAGGGTTTAGGGTTTAGGGTTTAGGGTTTAGGGTTTAGGGTTTAGGGGTTGGGCTTACCACCTGGAGATATTTGAAGCGAGCTCTACACTGGTTGTTGTTGCGGCCAGGGACTTTTGCTGCTACTCGCATCCATCTGCTGCTGCCACGAGGTGTATCCTGAACAGCAGCAACAGCAGCAAGCAGCAGCTCGTCTTCTGCTGCACTCCACTCCCGCCGCAGCAGCTGCTGCTGTTGCTGCTGCTGCAGCTGCACATACACCTGAAATATCACAAACGGAGGCATCGGCACGTCGCTGTACGCCGCCATGGATAGGAAATCAACCCCACACCCCACAGCAGCAGCAGCTGCTGCTGCTGCAGTTGCTGCTGCTCCTCTGTTGGCTGTACTCTTGCCCCCCTGGGCCCCTCCTCTCAGTGCAAGGCCACTGCTGCTGCTGCTGTTGCTGCTGCAGCAACGTTCAATTGCTGCACGCGCATGCTGCAGCTGCAGCGCAGCCAAATCTGTCGCACTGCCTTGCTGCTGCTGCTGCTGCTGCCGCTGCTGCTGCAGGCTCAGGCGATCTGTTGTCCTTGGGTAGCTCAAAGCAGCGACACTGCCTGCTGTGCGCTGCAGCTGCTGCAGTTGAAGCTGCTGCTGCACCTGCTGGCCCCCCTGAATGCCCTGTTGCTGCTGCAGCAGCACAAGCTGCTGCTGCTGCTGCTGCTGCTGCTGCATGCGGTGTAGTGCTGCTTCGCTCGGAGTTGTATTCATAAACCGGAGGAGACACTCAGCAGGAGACAGCCCGAGAGAGGGCGGCGCTGCAGCTGCAACAGCAGTACTTACACGCCGCAGCAGCGAAGCAAGCGTAAGCACCTTTCTCTGCTGCTGCTGCTGCTGCTGCTGCTGCTGCAGTTCGGCAGCATTGGCTCCCTGCCCCGCTGCATGCAGCAGCCACCGAATTCCTTGCAGCAGTCTTGCGGGGTGCAGTGTGCACTCATCATCTTCCTGCTGCTGCTGCTGCAGCTGGTGCCGCGAGTACAGCGCGAGTTGCTGCTGCTGCTGCTGCTGCTGCTGCTGCGTCCCTTGAAGATCAGCAAGCGAGTGGGGGGGCCAACGAGCAGCGTGAAAAGTCGCAGCCACAGCTTGGGGGGAGATGTGCAGCTCCTCCAGGTGTATCTTCAGCTGCAGCAGCAGCAACAGCAACAACAGCAACAGCAGCAGCAGCGTAGGCCAGTATGGAAGCAGCACGTGCTGCACCCGCCTCAAGCAGCAACAGCAGCAACAACAACAGAAACAGCAGCAGCACCCGTAGCAGCAGTGCAGCAGCCGCAGCACTTGCACAAGCAGCAGTAGCATAGAAGCAGGACGATGTGCAGCAGCAGCAGTTGCAGCAGCAGTAGCAGCAGCAGTAGCAGCAGCACCAGACGCAAGAGGAGCACTCACTAACCTGCTGCTTAAATAGAGACAGAAGCAGGGCTTGAGTATTTGCTGCGTCTCTGTCTCCTGCTGTCTCCTCCCCCTCAAACGACTGAGCAAAACTGTCCAAGGGAGAGGCTTGCTGCAGCAGTTTGCTGCTGCTGCTGCTGCTGCTGCTTCTCTTTCTAGCGCGGTGTAGATGGAGCTGCCTGGCGAGCAGAGCAGCAGGAGCAGCAAGAGTCCTGGCTCCTGCTGCAGCAGGAGCGCGGTTTGCTGCTGCTGCTGCTGCAGGTCCCCCCCAAAGGAAGCACTTCAGTGCTTCACCTCCAAGCATAGAAGAAACCCTAGGCTTGCCGCTGGGGCAGTGCTGCACCTGCTGCTGCTGCTGCTGCTGCCACAGCAGCAACGCGTCTCTGTTGCTAGGAAGAGGCCTCCCTTCTACGTTCAATAAAGGGTCTGCTGTGGGGCGCGCTGCAGCAGCAGCAGCACCTGCTGCTGCAGCTCGTTTGCTGCTGCTCCGGCTGCTCTCCCGCATCTGCTGCTGCAGCTCCTTCTGCCGCCGCAGCCGCCGCTGCTGCTGCTGCTGCTGCTGCAGCTGCTCATATATTTGCTGCCGCTGCTGCTGCAGCACCAACTCAATGCTGCACAAAACTGCAAAGTGTTCCACCGCCTTCTCCTCCAAGTGACTCAGTCTGCTGCTGCTGCTGCTGCTGCTGCTGCTGCTACTACTGCTGCTGCTGCTAACGGTGCTGGTGAGTGCATACGTAGGAGGTGGCTGGCTTTGCTGCTGCTGCTGCTGCTGCTGCTGCTGCTGCTGCGTCTGAGGGGTAAGAAAGGAGAAGATGCCTTCAGAGGGGCCCCCCTGCGGTACCCAGTCATCCGCCTCGGCGTCGGGGGCCCCATCTTCAGGGGCCCCCCACCAACTCTGAGTTTGCAGGCCTGTACTTGCTGCTGCTGCTGCTGTTGCTGCTGTTGCTGTTGCTGCTGCTAATTCCCCAGCAGCAGGATGTACAGCAGCAGCAGCAGCAGCAGCAGAAGCAGTCGATTCTGCTGCTGCCCACGATGGGTCTTGAGGCTGCAGCCAAGGGCTGAGAGTAATCTGGGGCTCTTCTTCATTGATTTGCTGCTGCTGTTGCTGCTGCTGCTGCAGCAGCTGTTGCTGCTGCTGTTGCTGAGTGTTCATGCCGCATCCGTTCAGGGGCCCCTGGGCCCCCCAGAGCAGCAGCAACAGCAGCAGCAGCAGCAGCAGCAGGGGAGGAGCAGCAAGCCCTCTCCTCCTCTTCTCTGTAGAAATAAAAAAACAATATTAAATTTATACTTTTAATTATTCATTGTCTGCTCTTAGCAGCTAATTGGGGGCCCCACACTGACGGGGGCCCCCGGGGCTGAGGCCCTGGGGCCCCCGGTCTCGTTCCTAGCTAGCCCTAGAGCAACAGCAGCAGCAACAGCAGCAGCAACTGCTGCTGCTGCTGCTGCTGCCGCGCTGCTGATAATATTTCTTTTGTTTTTTAATTTAAAGTATTTTATTTCAAGCAGAGCAGCAACGAGCTGTCTCGGATCCCGCGACAGCCCTACTGTTGCTGCCTCAACAGCTAGCTAACAGCTAGCTACAGCTAGCTACAGATAGCTTCTTAGGAGCAAGCCTGTCTCTTGCTGCACCCCACAGCCAACAAGATGCCGGACCATGCTGAGGAAGGGCAAGAACGCTCCCTAGCGAGCAGGGTGCTGCTGCTGCTGCTGCTGCTGTCGTTTGCTGCTCCTGCTGCTGATATTTGCTGCTGCCACTGTTTGCTGCTGCTGCTATTTGCTGGTGCTGCTGCTGTTGCTGCTTGCTGCCACTGTTTCTAGGGCTGTTGCTGCTGCCTGTTCCGGTGCTGCAGGGAGGCAGCAACAGCCTTTGGGGCCGGCACTAACGCTGCTGCTGCTGTTGCTGCTGCTGCTGCTGCTGCTGTGCATGCGTTTGTTCTCAGCTTGTAGATGCTGAGAAAGAAGTTAGGAAGGTATGCTGCATGCAGTCTTTTGTGTCTTTGTTTGTGAATCTGGCTTGAGGTGTACGTACACCTGAGATATGCTGCTGCTGCTGGTTTATCTCCAGCTGTCTCTTGTTGCTGCAGCTCCTCTCTATTTTAGGGTTTAGGGTTTAGGGTTTTCGAGGGTTTTGAGAGCTGCACGGATGTTGGGGCTGCATGCAGTAGCCACTATATTAAAAGGCGAGAAGGATAAACACATGCAAACAAACAAAGACAGAAAATAAGCAAAGACAGAAGACAGACATTGCTGCTAATGTGTTGTGCTGCAGCTCGAGAGAGAGAACCAATCCCTTCAGGCTGTGAGCTGCTGCTTGTGCTGCTGCTGCTGCTAGTGCTACTGCTGTTAGTGCTGCTACTGATGGAGCTGCTGCTGTTAGTGCGGATGCTGCTGGTGCCGGCTGTCCTGCTGCTGCTGCTGCTGCTGCTGCATCTGGGGTGTCTGTGCGTAGTGTTTGTTCTTCTGCAGCAATTGTCTTTGAAGACTCAGTTGCTGACTGGAGTGCGCCCAAAACCCTAAACCCTAAACCCTAAACCCTAAACCCTAATCTGGGGCGTCCGACCCCGAAATCTTCTCTTTCTTGGAGGGGACAGCTGCAGCAAATGCTGCTGCTGCTGCTGCTGCTGCTGCTGTGTGCAGAAAGTAAACCCTAAGGACATGCATGCAATTGAGTTAGAGCTGCAGGAAGAACACGCGCAGCTGATGCTGGAGAGGAGACATGAAATCCAAGCGCTTAAAGAGAAGATTCACAGGCTAGACACCCTCGTAACTGAGCTGCAGCAGCAGCGGCAGCAGCAGCAGCAGGGTCTTCTCGCCAGCGTCTTTACATGCAACTGCAACGCGACCACTGAAGACCCCACAACAGAACATACCATTGCCGTGCCTTGAGAGCTAGCTAGCTGCCTAGCTAGCTACCTAGCTAGCTAGTTAGCTAGCTAGCTACTACCTAACTAGCTAGCTAGCTAGCGATCCGCCTACGTGGCTACGTAGCTAGCTAGCTAGCTGGCTAGCTAACTGGCTAGCTAGCTACGTAGCCCCAGTGTCTGTTGGTCCCTACGACGCCAGTTAAGGCCGCTGCAGCAACAGCAACAGCAGCTGCTGCTGCAGTAGCAGCAGCAGCAGCAGCGAGCGGAAAGGGCATGTGCGTGTCTGTGGCTGCCCTCTAAAGCCCTAAGAAGCACTAAAGGGCCCCCAACTCATACCGAACCGCTGTAACAATGGGGGGCCCCCGGGGCCCCCCGAACCCGCTTAAGGTGTCTATGTTTATACTTCTTTCTCCTGCATAAAGCAGCTACGCTCTAGCAAGAGATAAAGACTAAAACATACGCACAAGAGCTAGCAGCAGCAACAGCAACAGTACACCCTCAGGGGGCCCCCAGGGGCCCCCAACAACACAAATGAAATAACCCCTCTGCTTCTGTGGGGGGCCCCCAGGGTACTGCGCTTGCTGCTGTTAGTAGAGGGGCCCCTACTAGGGGGCCCCCAACTATTAATGCATCTCTGCATAAGAAACATAATTAAAGAGGGCCCCTAACACGAGGGGCTGCTGCTGCAGAGCAGCACGAAGGCAAGACCAGCCGTACGTACACTGCACTGCTGCTGCACATCCTATATACACCTCTACCACAGAGGGCCCCCATGAGGGGGCCCCTAAGAAGCAGGGGGCCCCTCATGGAGGCCCCCAAGAAGAAGGGGGCCCCTCATGGGGGCATCCAAGAAGAACGGGGCCCCTCATGGAGGGGCCCCTCAGAAGGGGGGGCCCCTCATGGAGGGGCCCCTAAGAAGGGGGGGGCCCCCATGGAGGGGGCCCTAAGAAGAGGGGGGGGGCCCCAATGGAGGGGCCCCTAAGAAGGGAGGGGGGCCCCTCATGGGGCCCCCCTTGTCTGTATTGTTTGCTCGGAAGCCTATAAACAGGAACGGGGAGTAAAGAGAGCCGTTGAGGGGGCCCCCTATGGAGGGGCCCCTAAGGGGCCCCCCGGCGTCTCTGTACCCTCTCTTAGCGGGAAGAGAAGAAGCTACGCTCCGTTTGCTGCTACTGCTGCTCCTGCTGCTCCTGCTGCTGCTGTTATTATTATTCTTCTTTCGTGGGTTTAGCGCTGAGGTATGGGGGCCCTAAAAAAGAGTTAAGATGGTGAAGGATGCATACAGCAAAAAGACAGGATAGCCGACCAACATACGCTGTTCCTCTAGCAGCAAGGCCTGCAACCGCAGCAAAACCAGCAGCAGCAGCAGCAGCAGCAGCAGCAGCAGCAACAGAGAGCCCTGCACTTTAGTGCTGAGGTGTCTGTACAGTGCAGCCGAAACAGCTGCAGTATCTTTGGTTGCGGTGTGTAGACAGCCGAGTATGAAGCATTTTTAATATGAATAGCTGCTAACTGGGGTGTATAGGCAGCTCAGTATTATATACTTACAGCCTCAAATAGAGCAGAGGCACTAAAGGTAGCCCAGCTGACTCCAAGAGCAGCACAAACAAAGCGCAGCAAACTCTTTTTGTTTATAAACAACATAGTCAGGGCTACACCCATCACAGGCAGCAAACAATATCCTAAAATTGAAGCTGTACGATATACGTCTATCCCTTCACCCTACACACAAACAAACAAACAGCAGCAGCAGCAGGAGCAGCAGAGATAGCAGCAGGAGCAGCAGAGATAGCAGCAGCAGCAGCAGAGATAGCAGCAGCAGCAGCAGAGATAGAAGCAGCAGCAGAGATAGTAGCAGCAGCAGCAGAGATAGAAGCAGCAGCAGCAGAAATAGCAGCAGCAGCACAAATGCAAATGCATGCAGATGAGCGCTGCAGCAGCTACCAACTGTAATAAATACCCCTGTCTCCTTTCTTTTGTTTATATGCCTCATTGGTCTCCCTCGCACTGTCTCTGTCTCTCTTCTCTCTGTCTCTGTCTCTTTAGTCTCTGTCGCTGTCTCTGTTTCTCTCTCTCTCTCTCTCTCTCTCTCTCTATCTCTCTACATATACATATATATCTATATATATGCATTTCTCTGTCTCATGTGTCTCTGTCTCTGTCTCTTTAGTGTGTATCTCTGCGTTTGTTTTTATATCTCTTTATATTTATCTCTGCTTAATGTTTATGCTGCTGCCTCTGTCTCTACCTCTGTCTCTGTCTCTGTCTCTCTGTCTCTGTCTCTGTCTACCTCTGTCTCTCTCTCTCTCTCTCTCTCTCTCTCTCTCTCTCTCTCTCTCTCTCTCTCTCTG